GTTCATCTAATTACACCTCAAGAAACAAGATGACTCTTGCTTTTTCATTTTAGCCAATGTTTATTAGGACTATTAGCTATGTGGATTATATGTTTAGAGGTAAAACAACAGAGGCTGTGGCCTAGCAGTTGTCACTTGTTCTCAGTCATGTGGTAGAGCTGTGGTCTATCTGTCTATCTGATTTTCTTTTTTCTTTTTTTTGTAAACAATTGAAATCAAGCAATATTGTATTTTTAAAATTTTGTGTGCTCATTTCTACCTTTTTGTACATGAGATTACCTTTGCTGCCAGTCTTAAAAAAAGTAAAGTAATTAATACCACTGTAGGTTTATAAATCGACCATATATCAGTACATCTCTGTGACATATAGGCTACTGTAGCTCGATCCCTCCTTCAAAATATGTCCAGTTTTTTTTTTATCACTTAGTTTGTTGTCTTTCAGGTGAAAATCTTTACTCTGACTGCTTGTCGAAGTTCTATAATAGCACACCTCTTCTTAGCAAGTTGCATGATTTGAGGTATTATTCACGTGTGTAGCACAAACCGTGTCACTCTATCTTCAAGTACTAATAGTGTGGCTGATGTTACACATGTATTTGGTATTGCGGTGTTTATTTGGATGGTTTGTGTGTGTGTTTGGTGGTGTTAAAGGGTTAGTTCACCCAAAAATGAAAATTAAGTCATTAATTACTCACCCCCATGCTGTACCAACCCCGTAAGACCTTCGTTCGTCTTCGGAACACAAATAAAGATATTTTTGATTAAATTTGAGAGCTGTATAACTACCACATTGGCTCCTAAGGGACTGCCTCTTGACGGCCCAGAAAGTCAATGAAGAAAATGTTTAAATATCCCAAGTGACTACCGTGGCTCAACTATATGTTTATCAAGCGACGCGAATACTTTTTGTGCGAAAAAACAAACAAAAATAACAAGTTTATTCGACTATTTCTTTTCTTCCTTGTAGGCCAGAAACGAGATTTCCTTAGATTTCCTCGACGCATGCACGAGAATTGCGATCTGCTTTACACTACTTCAGATCGCAATTCTCGCGCATGCGTCGTGGAAATCTAAGGAAATCTCGTTTCTGGCCTACAAGGAAGAAAAGAAATAGTCGAATAAACTCGTTATTTTTGTTCGTTTTTTTGCACAAAAAGTATTCGCGTCGCTTGATAAACATATAGTTGAGCCACGGTAGTCACTTGGGATATTTAAACATTTTCTTCATTGACTTTCTGGGCCGTCAAGAGGCAGTCCCTTAGGCATCCAATGTGGTAGTTATACAGCTCTCAAATTTAATCAAAAATATCTTCATTTGTGTTCCGAAGACGAACGAAGGTCTTACGGGGTTGGTACAGCATGGGGGTGAGTAATTAATGACTTAATTTTCATTTTTGGGTGAACTAACCCTTTAAGATGAAACTGAATTGAATCCTGCCTCCTTTCATAGATGGGTTACACTTTCTCCTCGGACGCTGGCCTAGCTAGTTTTAATGGAGGGCCGACATTCTGCTAGCAATAAATGAGACATCACACAGAGCCAGAGAGAGAGCAGGAAAGAGAAATATTAGCGTGAAACCCCTTTGCTCTCTTTCCTTTCTCTCTCTCTCTCTCTCTCTCTCTCTCTCTCTCTCTCTCTCTCTCTCTCTCTCTCTCAGGGTGAGCAGATTGATGACATTTCTAAAGCTCCATGCTTTCTCCTCCCTCTGGTACAGAGGAAGTGTTTATCTCCTCTCCTGCCTCTGTGAATAAATCAAAACCCTTCCACACTGATCATGCCCCAGCCCTTCTGCAGCATGTGTGTGTGTGTTAGTGGAGAGGTTCTGGCCATGAAGATCTGTCAGGAATAGCAGTGTGTAATCAGAAATAAGGGTTTCGATCTTGGAAAAGGAATGATAGCAATCAGTGATGGATGGATGGACGGAATAGATGGATGGATGGACAGATGAAGAGGTTTTGGTTGAGGGGAGGTGAGGATTGCCTTAAGTATAATGCTAAGTGGCACATATAAGTTGGAAATGAGAGGTTCCTATTGATAGCTCTGTTCCAAAAATCCACTGAGCTGCCTTGCTGTCTGTTGCCTACATAGACAACATCCAAATTGAGTTTAGCGTCAAATGTGACTAATTTGGATCGCTGTACAGGTACCAAGCAGCTCCAAAATAGATTACTGCTCAACTCACAATTGATTTAGTGTTTTTGTTAGCATGTTGCTAAGCTAACTGTGTGAAATCTTAAACCCCAATGTCAAGTCAAGTCACCTTTATTTATCTAGCGCTTTTTACTATGCAGATTGTATCAAAGCAGCTTCACAAGTTTTGTTTCTAGAAGAAAATTGCATCAACGTCCACCTTAAGTAGATCAGTAATGTCCCCAACTAAGCAAGCCAAAAGCCAAGCCAACATGGCAAGGAACCCATCAGGCAACAGAATGGAGGAAAAAAGGCAAACTATACTGTTTTTTTGTGCGAATGCCACCGTATGCGTACAGTCGAACCTGTAGCCTTTCAAAGTATACTCAATTTGATGGTGTGCATTAACATTGAAAGAAAGTTTTATCTTTGTCAAGTGCCTCTGCTGTTTTTCTCCTCAAATTATGACTGATAAATAACTGACTTGGATGGGTTTAATTTCTCACACACACACACACACACACACACAAAAACAAAAAAAAAAAACAACAAAAAAAAACGAACAAACATTGCATTGCAATTCAAGTGTAAGTGCATTCTGGGACTGTCTTTTCTGTGAAGGACACCTCCAAGGATAAATCCTACCGCAGGATTTATTTAAACTTCAGAAGTTGTTTTGAATGCAAAGTTTTATTTTATCTAGGATGATAAACTTTGTTTTTTATTCAAGATATTTTATTGTGATGGCACTGTACACTACCATAGTATTGATTTTCTTTGAAAGTTTTTTAAAGTAGTCTCTTATGCTAATGAAGGCTGCATTTATTTGATCGAAATAAACATTAATATTGTTACATATTTTAACATTTTAAAATAACCGTTTTCTATTTGTGTATTATTTTCAGCATCATTACTCAAGTCTTCAGTCAGTGTCACATGATCCCTCAGAAATCATTTCTAACTTGCTGATTTAGTGCTTGACAAACATTTCTTATTATTATATCAATGTTGAAAACAGTTGTACGGAGCCCTAAAGGGAAAAATATGACATAGGAGGAAAAAAATATTTCAATGTTGTTGTGGTCCCTTACAAAATTGTTGAGTTCGCTCAACATAAAAGTTTTGCGAGGGAACACAAAAACATGGACAAATAATTTATGGAACACGACTCCCTTTTGGGCTGCTTTTTTTGTGTAAACTTTGGAATCTTTGATGAATGGCGAGTAAAAAAAAAAAATGTATGTGGAGTATTTATTTATACAGCAGTACTCTTACTACTACCGTACTACTTTTATTAATAATACAAGGAACACATTTAGAATCAATGGTTATTTACATTTCTGTGGCAGATGAGAATGTTATGAATGACACAATGACCTGTACTATTTGTTTCTAAGCAAGGCAAATTACATCTGAAAATCCCATTGTCATAAGGATGTAGATGAATAATAATAATAAAAAAAATATGCAAAAATGTTTCATATTTGATAAAGAAATATTTTGGATCCTGGCTACAGCACTCTCTTATTTAAGTATATACACACACTCACATTCACATTTTCCTGAATGTCACATTGTGTATGGTTTATTTATATGTTTACTCTCCTGGTGTCTCGTTCAGACAGGAAGCCTATGGCTTTACCAGCAAACTCCTCTTTCTGTCTCTTACTGCATTCATTCACATGCACACATTGCTCTACATACACAGACTCACATTCATGGAGGCCCCTAGAACAGCAGTGCAGCAGAAGTCTAATGCAGTGTCAGTGAGATGCATGTATTTAACTGGCAGGCCTCACACCCTCATCGTGAAGTGAATAGATAGCATCGCTTACTGAGATTAACCTAAAATACTAGCCATGCTGGGCTTCTTAGATGTCCTCTATCGCGTTCTGATGCACAAGGTAATAAAGGCCAGTGTGTATTGTTTGGTGTAAAATATGTTGGGTACTATTTTGCTGCCTGAGTATTAAAAGTTTATTTCTACATAATTATAGTTCATTATTTTATTGTCTAAATGCACTCTGATTTACTGTAAAACAGCTTGCTGACACTCCACTACCTTTCAACATTTTGGAGACTTAAAAAAAATAATGTGTGTAACATTATTCTTAAAAGACTGCAGTTATTTGTAAAATAATGGTAAATTGAAATATTACAAATATAGAATTTTCAGCAGACATTACGATTACGCCATTCTTCAGTGTCACATGATCCTTCAAAAATAATTCTAATATGATGCAGCACTATAACTTGTCATTTTTTTAAAATGATATCATTGCCCTTGTAATTCTTTTGATGCATGTTGCTCATTTTTTGGATACTTTTACCTCAATTCTTACTCATGGCACTTTTAATGTATGGTAACTTCAGAAATGTTGTGTACAACCTTTGCTATATGTAGACCTTAGCTATCTTGCTATTTAATAACAGGAACTGTCTGGGTTATAATGTCATAATATGCTGGTCATGTCTGTGTCTATTTTCTCATGATCATTATTTCTTGTTTTTCTATTGTATTTGCAACAATGCATGCTCACTTTTTGAGTGGCCTTGGTTCCAGAACAATTTTTCCCATTCATTTTGGAAGTCATTGTTAAAGAGTTGTAAGCCATGAACCAATTCAACTGGCTACAAGGTGAATCACAACATCATAAACTTTGATTTGAGGCTAAAAGGGTTTTTGAAAATCCTTATATCCTTTTATATATCCTCATATATATATGCATTGATCATGCCAGCATTATATTAATTAAATAATTAGAGCTCACAGGTCAATTCTCTTATAGAAAAAGAACTATAATTGTGTCTTTCTTTGTATATATTGACTGTATCTGCTCTGAATTTTACATTGCTGTGTGTCCCGCAGCTGATCGCAGTGTACGAGGAACAGGAGGCCCAGCAGAGGGGCGCCATGAGTCCCGGGAATGGAACAAGGACAAGTAGCAGCCTAACGGGACAGTCCAGCCCAGAACCCTATGACTCTGAACTCGCATGCTTCCAGCCAATCAAAGGAGGAGAAATTGAAGTCAACTCCTCTGCCCTCAAGTCCAGTATGTATGCAATAAAACGATACAAGTACAGCCAGTAAAAAAATAAATAAAGTAATGTATTCCCATTAGAAAAACAGAGCTGTGATCAAACACATGCTTAATGGTGAGTGAAATAATAGACTGCCACTATGAGAGATGATATTATATATAGCATAATCGGGCCCTGGATTAAGCTTGAAATGCTCTGACTCACTCATGTAGCTGTGAACAAATGAAAGTGTTCTCTCTGCATTACAGCACTTGCTCATATTGAAGTATCACTTTTAACAAACAGTTCACCTTAACCAACCTTTGCGTCTCATATCTTTAAAACACTGCCTGAAAAATTTCACTATCAGAGAGAACAGTTTCTGCTGAGAAGAACTTAAAAAAATCAGACATTTTTTCAATTTGTTTTGGACAAAGACATTTTCTCTTATTTCGAACGGGTCTGGAATACTTCATTTGGTTCTGTAGTACTGCACCTTGGGGAACCATGTGTTTTTCATCTGGGCTGGTTTCACCTCTGTCTGATGTCATGCACACCTCCAATATAGAAAACGCACACATATTTGTTCTAAATGTCAGAGTGTGTGTATGATTTAGAACATGTTTACACTCTGAAATTAAATCCTTGGTAAAATAAGCCGAGGAATCGTGTGCATGTATGTTCGTATGTGTGAGCGTCTTTGTGTCTCCTTGTAAATCTGCCCCTTTGTGTTTTAAGTTTCATTGTAAAAGTAGACACGGGGCTCGGAAAGTTCAGCGTACTGGAAAAGCGGCTTTTTCTTTTGCGATCCAGGCATTCTTGGGAAGTGCTCGAGTTTCCTCGTCTCTACTTCAAGGTGGAGGTGTCAGTTGACTGATCTTTTCCTCTTTCATTTTCCACGGCTGTAAATATGCCGTTTGTCACGTCGATAGGGTCTGACATACATCTGTATCTGGATCATTTGTTAAAAAGAGAGATCACACGTGCCTCTGTATATGCAGACATGATGTTAGAGTGGGGAGAGAAAGTGGTAGGAGAGCGTTTGAAATTGTAACTCAAAGGAGATGTTCACACACACACACACACACACTGAACATGAACCGGTCCGTGCACTCCGTCTAGCAGAATGCAGGGGTCTCTAGGTGATTTTACACCTGATATTAACGTGTTTTTGATAGAATGCTGTAGTGGTCACGTATTTTTGTTGCTTTGCACGGAGTTCAGTAACATGACAAAGTAGGACTAATACAATAGGATTTTTCCACCGGCTTTTGTATTATTGCAAAACAAAACTCTGTGGCCAACAAAGCTTTATGATTCTTACAGGTTTGTTCATCATGATAATCTTTACAAATTAATATTAATGCAAATTTAATGAATTTTGAAGACTAAATACACTAGGTGGAAGTAAAAAAGCCAAATGTAGGCTTTTAACGACCTATAACACGGTCACACGACTTCAGTGTGACCACCATTAATCTTCTATCTAATCATTAATCTTTTAAAAATAGTTTTCCTGAAAGTTTTAGCTAGAAAGCGACTAGTGATTCGATAAGTTGAGTTTACCTGTTCGGATGATGGCGTTTTGTGCCCTAGACAAAACTCTGTTGTCCCATTTAGCCACTTGTTAGCATCCACTTATTTCAAAACAAGTTCTGTAAAAGCTTTATTACTAATGTATTTTGTGTCTTAGAATAAAACATAAAAATATCCTGAGCTTGTGTTCACCACAGACCTTATTTCAGGCATGTATTCAAAAATCCATTTAACAAACCAATTGACCCTCAGTGCTTGTTTTTGGGTTTTGGCCTACAAAAATACATTATCCCTGCAGCACTACACTTAACCCCAGAGAATCGTCGTTCTGAACACTACACTAACCTGGGTAAAGGAACACTTTAGAAGCAGGGTTAGGACAGATTTTGCGGTGTTAACACTGCGTTGCGGTGCAAAACGTGTGCAGTGTGGAAAGATGCATATTATGACTAGATTCTTAGCAACCGACAACCAATAGTGTGCCTCATATTCACATGCTTTGAACAGTTACAGCGTTTGAGGATAAAAATGTCAATGACAGAAAACATGACAATTGGAGTGAAGAAGAGTATTTCATTCTAACCTTTTTCAATTCAGGAAAATGTTCATATTACAGTCAGCAACATGAGGAAGCGCAATGCTAGATCCTTTATCTTTTAAACATATTGTGTGGAGTGCAGCGTTCAATACATATAATGACGTTAACCCAGGGTTTTGGATTTAACAGTGTGCTACTACTGTAGTTTATCAATACCCAGGACAAATTGTTAACCCCAGTAATTATGAGCAGTGTGAAATGTGAAGGAAGATAACCCAAAGATTATAACAAACAATCTCCGTTCGTGATCTGGTTGCAAGATATTCGAGATGGTTCCTCGAAATACAGAAGGAGGATTTAGATCCAGATCCAACTCCTCCCACCTTACATATCCCTAATCCTACCCATCTCCACCCCCTGATCCCTAACCCCACCCCTAATCCTACCCATCTCCACCCCCTAATCCCTAATCTGATCCCTAACCCCACCCCTAATATTACCCATCTCCACCCCGATCCCTAATTCTACCCAGCTCCACCTCCTGATCCCTAACCCCACCCCTAATCCTACCCATCTCCACCCCTTAGATCTGGATCCAACTCCGCCCCCTGGATCTTGTGAACTGCAATGAGGTGCTACTGCAATATTCTACATACATTCCAAATGTTTAACTGAATGAAATGAAACTCATGATCCCTGCAAAGATTTATCATTAAGAAACCACCTTCCAAATCAAGGCGACACACACCCTGGTATTTCCCCAAATACGGCCTGACCTGCCTCTCTAAGTGGATTATTCCTGCAATCCAAATGAATGCTCAGCACTCAGTCATCCGTGAACACAGGAAGTGCACACATCTTCACAATCCAATCAGCCACCTTTCATTTAGTTATATGATGACCTGGGAAATCCCTGTTACCAGAGCAGCTCTCTAATGCTATTTTATGCTCTGTAGGTTTGTTTTATTACCCCAATTAATTCACAAAGCAGAAAAAAAAAAAATCAATTTCAGCATTTTGAATACATTGTTCATAGCTTTCATGTTTAGTTGCATGTATTCCAAAGCATGTTGGAAGAGTTAAAACATATAAAGACAGATTGCTTTCTCATCATTGCCACATGGGGCATTATATTGGGGAATTTGTTTAAAGATTAATGGCCAGTTATACGATCGGTTTTGTCTTCGCTTCCGGGTTACTCTGTCATCGTGGATCAATAGTTTGGAGACAATCTGAGCAAATTAAAGTTAGTTAAACTTGTATATACTGTATGTTTATAGCTATATATTTAAACAATTTTGTAATTTGCAATTAAATATAATTTAAAAAAAATATATTTAATATGTATGACAGCTTAATATGGTAAATAAGATTGTGAGCCTTTGAAATATGTAGGCCTATTTTAAGCACTCATGCACATGTATAAAGCTTTAGCTTGCCATTGGTAAAAGTAATTATTATGAATGTGTTGGGGAGAAACAGAAAGGAGACGTCTAATTTAAAAAAAAAATATATATAAGCAATTTGATTAGTTGCTTATATTTTGTGCCTCGCTGTAAGTTTAGAGGGACTATGTTTGCATCTGCATTTGTTTGCATTCATAGAGTATGTCATTAGAGGAAAGGGTAATGCATAATGGTTTTTCCAGCATTTGAAGTTGTTTTTGGGGCATTGGCGTGCCAGACGTGACTGTTTACATGTTCAATCAGTGAGTATGTGAACTCATAGATCATTTTAATTTGATTTGAAGGGATGTTGTTGTGGCACTGTGGGCTGTTTAGCACACATATGTTTGCACGAGTGATGTCTGCTTTGATAAGTATGCCCAGAGGTCTATTGAGACCAGCAGTGTCATCTGGAGTCTGTCAGTGAGTACACACACTCTCACTAGTAGAGATTCCCCACATACTCACATCCTGTGCATTTTATAGTGTGCTTGAAATGATTTCATCAGTGTAGTTTGGTAGAATGTTCATTCGGCTGCTCTGGTTCTGGTCAGGACTTATGAATCGTTTCTTTGTTTCTTCTCTTTGCTCAACTGCAGTTAACTTTGCTTATCTTTTGTTGGAAAGATACATTGTTTGTTTTATTAGATCAGACATGCATGTGGTTGTTCCACAGCTATTTCAGTGATATCTAATGAGACGTGAGCTGTTAGAAGGGAGAGGTTTGTGTCTTTCCGACACGTTTAAACATTCAGCATGTTAAATATCTGGCATTAGAATGCTTGAGTTAAAGCATGTGAAAGACTTTAATTAGTTTGTCACACTGGAGCAGCCTTTAGACAGTTCTCATCACTCATGGGGCTCACTTTTAATATTAAGTTGGAGAAACACTAAAGTTGCTCTGCATTCTTGCGTTGGAAATAATTGGCATGTGAAAATTGAAAATGCTCATTTTGAGAGGAAGTGACATTGTTGGGCCGCTGAATAATTACTAGCGCAGTTCTGAGCTTATGGGTGTTTCTTCAACTATGGGAACTTTTGACTTTCAATAAAAAAAAAACTCCCTAAACATTTTTCAAACTCTTACTAATTTGTTTAATTAGTCTGTTGAGAATATCCAACAGGATATTAATCTTTGTTTTTTTGAAAGCCATGAAAAATCACATCTCAACTCTTTTAAACATGTATTATGTTTAAAAGCATTGTGGTGGAAATTACAATTTATACAGAGTTTTTGAGTCATTACATTTTTCACACTTACATGATTTGACAAAATTAAAGCTTTGCTGAATGACATCATAAAAAGTGTTCTGTTAAGTTCTAGTTTCAAATATGGGACAAGGGTAAAACAATACAATAGACACATAAAACGCTTTTGAAAAGTAGCAAAAAGAAATATTTTTGACATTTTTAAAGACTTTTGGACATAACTAAAAGAAAGCTGTTGGTTTCTAATAAAAATCAAACACTGGGAAAAATGTTATTTGATTGATCTGAATAGCAAAGCATTCAG